GCCCAGGACTTAAATACTGCTTTTCGGCCCTACACCTAGCCGATGTGGGACTATTTGTCCGTGACAGCGCGCATACATGCGTGGGTAAGCAAGTAGAGCAACTTTTCTTAAAGTGCTATTGCAAGTATAGGGCTTAGCATTATATCATTACAAATATTAACAAAACCTATTTGTTATCTGAAATCCTACAAAGCGTTATTTGAGATGGCGATAATATATGAAGGGAATATTTTGGAAAATCGCTTACAGAGCAGCTTTTATATTAATTAAATGTATATAATAAAAAAGGGAGGTCTCTACATACGGATCACCTAATTTTTCTGTATTAAAATATTAATCATTCAAATTTCAGATCGCATGATTCATATGCTTTTGGCATAGGTTACGGTGATTTGTGCATAAAAATTAAAGTTTGGGTTGTTGTCAACAACCCAAACTTAGTTTGTTTGAAATAAGCTCGTGTTCGTTTCTTAACGAACGAGCCGAACACAAACCGAACACGAGCTGTTCGTGAACGACGAGCCAGTTTGACATCCCTAATATTAATATATAAAAATAATATTATATATTAATTATATAACTTATATTATATAAATATTCAATATCTATATTAGTATATTACTATTATAGTATATTAATATATTATTATTATTATTTTATTATATATTATAATTTATAAAATTTAATGTTTTAAAATATAATAAATTTTTTATATATAATTATTTTATATTATTTTATATTTCAAACAATAACGATTCGAACACGAACGAACGCATCACTGTTCGTGTTTGGTTCGTTTAACTAACCGAACGAAAAAAATTTGTTCGCGTTTGTCTCGTTTACTTATCGAACGAATCGAACATGAACTCATTGACGAACCGAACACGAACTGTTCGCGAACAACGAGCTTTTTTGACAGCCCTAGTTGTTGATTTGTTAATGCACACTTACAGTGGTAGATATGTAAATCTCTCTAAAAGTCAATGTCTCAACCTTGTAGAAAATTTGTCTTCAATTAGGCTTACAGAAGCAGGTTGCTACTTAAAGTATGATTGTGCCATTGTCCATGAGGGTATTATCATCGGAACTATTTTATTTTTTTTAATTAATTTATGTGTTTGTTTGTTTTTTTTTAATTGATGTGTTGGTTTGCTGTCATTGCCGATGCCAAGTCCGGAAATGAAAAGTGAAGGGTTGCTTTAGGTAGTCGACAATCAGGGTAAAATTTGTTGAAAAAATCATGACCTGAATCCTTTTGATCATTATGTAAATGTTTGGGGGTTCCCTGGAAGTGAAGCGTTGTATAGTTTGAATACAACGAAAAGTGCGTAAGAGCTGCTACACCGGTGTCTGGGTGTAGTGTCAAATAAGCTAGGGTTCTCACATTACGGACGGATGCAGATAATGAAGTTAGTCCATGAAACTATTAAAATTAATATTAGGATAGGATTTTGGAATATAGGTACTCTCAATGGTAAATTAATGTAATTAGTTGATATGATTTATAGAAAGTTTAATATATTATGTATTCAAGAAACTAAAAGGGTTGGAGAAAAGGTTAAGATTGATAACTTAGGTATTAAATTGGTATTCTGGTAAAAATCGCATTAGAAATGGTGTATGTGTAATTATGAATAAGAGTTTGAAAGATAATGTTGTAAAAATTAATAGAGTTGGAGATAGAATTATAGCCCTTAAGATTATCATAGATATTAAGATTTATAATATTATAAGTGCTTATGCTCCTCAAGTAGGTTTAGATGTAGGGTTTAAAGATAAATCTGGAATGACTTAGAAGGCTTAATACAAATGATACCTCTTAAAGAAAGAATTTTTATTGAAGGAGATTTAAATGGACATGTCGATAGGTGGTAGGAGATTCAGAAATATTCTTAATGGCTATAGTTTTGGAGTGACTAATGAAGAAGACAAGAGTTATTTCACATTTTACTTTAGCGTATGATTTTGTTATTACTAATTGTTTATTTAAGAAAATAGATGAGCATTTTATTACTTATAAGAATGGATCCAATAAAATGCAATTTAATTATTTTCTTATGAGAAGAAGCGATCGCCAAGTTTGTAAAGATTGTAAGGTCACTCAAAGTGAGGATTTAAGTACCCAACATCATTTATCGGTTCTTGGTTCTAGATTTTAAGATGAAGAGTTATAAAATAAAGAATATTATAACTCATCATCGTAAAATTAGATGGGGGAACCTAAAATGCACATATAAAATTATTTTTATGAGTAAAATTCAAGATTTCAAATTTTGGGATGTTCATGATGAAACAAATGTTATAAGGGATAAAGTAACAAACACTATTAAGCAATTAGCAAAAGATGTACTTGGAGAATCAAAAGAAAAAGTTTCTATAAGTAAAATAGTTTGTGGTGGAACAATAATGTGCAAGAAAAGATAAAATATAAGAAGTTATGTTATAAAAATTGGTTTAAATGTAAAAGTTTAGAGAATTGAGAAAAATATCAAACGGCCTACAGAGAGTCTAAAACAACAATCAGTGACGCTAAAAATTCTCCTTTTAATGATCTTTATAATAGATTAGATACTAATGAGGGTGAAAAATATATTTATAAACTAGCCAAACAAAGAGAAAAAAAAGTAAAGTGTATTAAAGATGAAAATCAAAAAGTACTTTTCTTAGAAAAAGATATTCAACATTGGTGGGCGATTTATTTTGATAAACTTTTTAATGAAGTTTCTGAAAATATGATCGTCCTTAGCAATCTTAATATCGTTAATAATAATACCATCACATTAATAGAAAAAAAGTTGAGGGGGCTTTACAAAAAACCAAGAGTGGAAAGTCTGTAGGACCTGCTGATATCCCAATTGAAGTATGGAAATATTTATGAGATTTGAGAGTTTCTTGTCTTACTTAACTCTTTAATATTATTTTTGCTTTAATATTATTTTAAAAACTAAAACAATGCCTGAGGAGTGGAGGAAGAGTATTTTGGGTGTGACTTGCTCTTGTGATTTCTCGTTTTGCTCTATTTGCAGTTTCTAGCATTTTTTCTATTGCCCGTGTAGACTTTTTGCTCTATGGTTTGCAAGGGTTCAATGTGAGCCTCTTTGTGATTTCTAGCATTTTTTCATTACTTGTGTAACTAGTGCTCTACTATGAAAGCTATACATTTATTGAGAGACTTGATGGAGAAGTTCATATTTAATAAGGAGTATTTACATTTGATTTTTATTTATTTAGAAAAAGCTTATGATAAGGTTCCAAGTGATATCTTTTGGAGAGTTCTTGAGAGAAAGGTGTTGATATGACTTATATTCACGTCATTAAGGATATGTATACTAGAATTGTTACTTATGTTTGAACTGAAGGAGGATTGACCAAATATTTTCCTATGCCTGTTGGATTACATCAGGGATCAGTTTTGAGCCCATATCTTTTTTGCTTTAGTTATGGATGGTCTTACTGGACATTTACACGAGGATGTACCTTTGTGTATGATTTTTGCTAATGATATCGTTTTCGTGGATAAGACGAGAGAAAAAGCCCAGAAAAAACTTAAATTATGGAAGTCTACATTGGATTCTAAAGGTCTTCATTTGAGTAGAACTAAAACTGAATTCATGAAATGTAATTTTAGTAGTAGTAGCTCTAGTGACAAAAGTGTAACTTTGGGTGATCAAATTATTAAAAGGTGTGAACAATTAAGATATCTCAAGTTTTTTGTTCAAAGCGATGGTAATATATATGGGGTGTTAATAATAGAGTTCAAGTTGGTTGGTTAAAGTGGAGGAATGCTTCAGGCCTTTTTGTGTGATGGAAAAGTACAGCTTAGAGTGAAAGGAAATGTTTATAAGATGGTGGTGAGA